CTGAAATTCAAGATCAGAAAACCAAAGATTAGAAAACCAAAGATAAGGTAAGTAAGTATAGAGACCAAAAAAAAAAAAAATAAGGAGTGTGATCATAATAAAATAATGCTTGTGGGGCTTTTTATTTTATTTTATCTTATTTTTTTTGGTCGGTCGTGGGGCTTGAACTCTGGGCCTGGGCGCTGTCCCTGCACTCTTCAGCGCAAGGCAAGCACTCTACCCCTTGAGCCACAGCGCCACTTCTGGTTTTCTAGCAATTTATTGGAGATAAGAGTCACGAACTTTCCTGCTACAACTGGCTTTGAACCATGATCCTCAGATCTCAGCCTCCTGAGTAGCTAGGATTACAGGCATGAGCCACCAGTGCCCGGCTTGTGGGGCTTTTTAAAAATAAAATATAGGCTGGGAAGGTGGCTCAGTGGTAGAGCGCTTGCCTTGCATGCATGAGGCCCTGGGTTCGATTCCTTAGCACCACATAAGCAAAAAGAAAAAAGCCAGAAGTGGCACTGTGGCTCAAGTGGTAGAGTGCTAGCCTTGAGCTGAAGAGCTGAGGGACAGCGCCCAGGCCCAGAGTTCAGGCCCCACGACCAGACCCCAAAAAATAAATAAATAAAATAAAATATATTGCTACAAGTAGCCTACATTAAAATGGAGTAACTAGAATGTAACTTTTGTAGGGCCTTGAATTGTTTGGAACAATAGTAAAATTTTACCTTAGTCACTGGCAAATTAGATACATATGCTAGATGAAGGGGTTGGAGATATAGTAGTAGGATATATCTTTAGTATGCATGAGGCCCTGGGATTGAGCCCTAGCACTACCCAAACACACACACACACACACACACACACACACACACACACACACACACACACAAAATCTAGTTTAAACATCCTTTTTTCTATTCTTTCTCTCCCCCCCCCTGCCCTGCCCCGCCTCTTTGATACTGGAATTTCTGAACTCAGAGCCTCAAGTTTATTAGACATCAGCTCTACCATTTTGCTTTAGTCATTTTTCAGATTATGTCTCACACTGTTGTCTAGAGCTGGCCTCAAACTCCAATCTTCCAACCTACCTATGCCTCCAGCATAGCTAAGATTACAGGCATATACCACTAGGCCAATCTTACTGATTGAGATGGAATTTCGTTAATCTTTTGCCTGACAAGTCTCTAGATCAGCTACCAAGTAAGTGGGATTATGGTATACACTCTCATACCAGGCCATTAAACACATTTATAAGACAAATAGCAAATTTTGATAGTTTTGGTAACAAAGATTCGATATAAAGTAAGGCAAAAGACAAAGGCCCTAAGGGCCAGCTTAAGGAATATTAAAAGATATTCCAGAATCTTGCATACATGTCTAAAGAAACAGTAAAGTCTTATCTGTTCTGTTAAACTGTCAGAGCAACACAAGATAGATATGTAATATAAGACACACTAATCTTTTAATTGCCACATTAATACCACTACTAATAATAAACCTACAGTATAGAATTCAAATGCCACTACCAGAAATGCATCTACTACACAGAATTCAAGATTTCTTTGCCTTTCTTTATGCCTTTAGGTTGAATCCCTCTGAAGGCATACAGATGATATGTTAAAAATTACAAGTGATAAGTTTAATATATAGTTAAGTTTATGTTTTACGTTGGCATTCTATTTTACTTTTCTGTTTCATCTTTGGTAAGGCAAGTTGTAAAAATAAGTTTGATAGGCAAAACTTTCTAATAATATATGCTCAAAGAAGTGTAGTGTCTTTGTGTAGGTAACCAGCTTCATTAATTTCCCGTCTATTCTTTTTCTGTATTTTTAATATACAAACATTATATAAAATGTATGTATATGTTACATGTTGTATGTTGTATGATGTGTACAACTTTCCCTTTTCTATATATAAGACAGCATATATCAAATGTTAAAGTGATTTGTGTGTGTGTGTGTATGTGTGTGCCAGTGCTGGGGCTTGAACTAAGGGCCTGGACACTGTCCCTGAGCTTTTTTGCTAAAAGGTAGTACTCTACCACTTACACTGTCCCTGAGCTTTTTTGCTCAAAGGTAGTACTCTACCACTTGAGCCACAGCTGGCTTTTTGTTGGTTACAACTGGATATAAGAAGTTCATGGACTGCTGCCTGGGCTGGCTTTGAACTGTGATCCTCAAATCTGAGCCTCCTGATTAGTTAAGATTGGCCTACTGATATTTTAAATAGAAGTATTCAGCTAAAGATGTCCCAATTATTGTTGCTAAAGCCTCCCTCCTTTCCCTGTGAACCTCTTGCCTACTGGGACAGAATCCCAGTAGGACAAAGGGCATTCCCTCTCAGCCAGTCTGGGGCCTTGGCAGCAAGGACAAAGGAAACCCAGGTGGATCTGTACTGTCAAGTCCTCTAGATCAAAGTGTTAGGATCACAATGTCAATGGAAAGGGCACTCAGAGAAAGAGTCCAAATTTCTCAATGCCACTAGTAGATAGCTAACATTTGAAAATGTAAACTCACTGTAAATTCAAACTTCAGCTTACTAAAATTTTCTTGCACCTCAAAATCAGAGTAAATGGGATAAAATCTGTAACCATGTTTTGAAAGAATAACTTGAGGGCTGGGAATGTGGCTTAGTGGTAGAGTGCTAGCCTTGAGTAAAAGAAGTTCAGGGAAGTGGCGCTGTAGCTCAAGTGGTAGAGCACTCGCCTTGAGTTGAAGAGCTAAGGGACAACGCCCAGGCCCAGAGTTCAAGCCCCACGACCGAGAAAAAAAAAAAGAAGTTCAGGGACAGTATCCATCCAGGCCTTAAGATCAAGCCCCAGGACTGGCAAAAAGTTTTAAAAAGGAGAGAGAGGATAACTTGACAAAATAACCTATATAACCTATCTAAAGTTCACTTGAAAAAATAAATACCAATTAGGTGTCAGTGGCTCATGCCTGCAATCCTAGTTACTCTGGAGGCTGAAATCTGAGGATTACGGAATCAAAGCCAGCCCAGCCAGACAAATCCATCAGATTTTTTTTTTTTTTTGTCCTCAGTCGGGAGTTGAACTCTGGGCCTGGATGGTTTCCCTCAGCTCTTCAGCTCAAGGCGAGTGCTCTACCACTTGAGCCACAGCGCCACTTCCAGCCTTTTCTGTTTATGTGGTGCTGAGGAATTGAACCCAGGGCCTCAAGCATGCGAGGCAAGCACTCTACTACTGAGCCACCTTCCCAGCCCTCCATGAGACTCTTATTTTCAATTAACCAGCAGAAAAGCTGGAAATGGTGGCGTGGCTAAAGTAGTTGAGCATCAGTCCTGTTCTGGCACATTTAAGAAATTTTACAGCTGGAGGTATGGCTCAAGTGGTAGAGTGTCAGCCAAATAAGAAAGCCAACCCAGCAAGAGGCCCTGTACTCAAACTCTAGTACTAGCAATAAATACCATACTCACTAGATACTCAAGAATAAATACCATACTCACTAGATACTCAAGAATAAATACCATACTCACTAGATACTATGTTGAAAATGAACTGCTATACAACTTATGGGTGGTGACAAGAGAGAATAACTGGCAGACAGCAAGGGAAGGGGTGACACTGTCAAAAAGAAATGTACTCATTACCTGACTTATATAACTAACCCCTCTGTACATCACCTCCATAATAACAATAAAAATTAAAAAAGAATAACCAGAAAGAATTTGAAAAATAATTTAAATGTGGTGGGATCTAACTTTGCCAGATATTCAAATATTTTATAAACCAAGAGTAAGCCTAGGATGATGGTATATGCCTATAAGAGACCTTAGCTATGCAGAAGCTCGTGGTTCAAAGCCAGCCTGAGCAGAAAAGTCAGTGAGATTCATTCATAACTAGTAAAAAGCCAGAAGTGGAGCTATGGCTCAAGTGGTAGAGCACCAGCCTTGAGTGAAAAAGCTATGGGACAGCACCCAGGCCCCTGAGTTCAGGCCCCAGTACACACACACACACACACACACACACACACACACACACACAAATAAAATAAAAAATTAAAGGCTGGGAATATAACTCAATGTTGAAGTGTTCATCTTGAATGAACAGATCCTGGGGCCCATCTCTAGCTCCCTGTACATATATGAATTTAACATATAACAGTGATAACTGCAATTTCTAGCAGCAAGGAAAGAATAACACTAGGTCATTGTGGCTGAAATAAACAACTGGACCGAAATGAAGCAGGCTTCCTAAGTGGGTGAGAAAAACCTTAATTCAGCATGTGTACTTATAGTTTCCAAAATACAAAATATTAAAAAGCATAAAAGCAAGGACCAAAGTATAGTTCCATTGTAAGAACTCTTGCCTAGCTGTATGAAGGAAGCCCTGGGTTCTGTCTCTAGTATCACAAAATAAATAGTGCAATACCATAAAAATACATGTCTTCATTTATTTAAACATATACGTGCATTTATCATGGCTTTATAGGCTTTTCATCAAAATACAGATTTAAAAGAACAGACTGATAATTCTGACTTCATAAACACACATTTCTTACTGTTAAATAAATAGTAGAATCAAAGTCAAGACGCAATTTTAAAAACTCCATCCTACTATTCATCATCCTACTGCCAAGCGATCGGGGTAAGTAAAAACCCAAAGGGTCACCAGCGGCCCCAGTGACCTTTCACCTAGAACTTGCAAGCCCCTTAGTTGTCACGCAGCTCCTGCTGAACCCAAGATGGGGCCACCGCCGAGGGCAGGGAGAAATTCACAGTCGACGCTCCACGGGTGGAAGAGGGTCTCACTCTGCCGCTCCCTTCGCGGCCCCCTCCCCCCGGGTGTACTACACACAACTTCGGATGGTTTTCCAAGCTCGAGCGCAGACCCTGGGTGCGCCGCGCCGTGCGCGCGCCGGGGTGTCAGGGCGCCGGGCGGCAACTTCACTAAGCCTCCCTCTGCAGAGCCCGGCCGCCGGGCGACCCGCTGCGGCGCCCCTGAGCCCCGCACGCGCCTCAGCCCAGCCTCGCTCGCAGCGCCCCCATCCTCTTACCCGGTGTTGGGTAACATGGCTCCTGCAGACCCCGCACTGGACTTGGACGCGGCAGTGAACAGTCTAAAAGCAGACCACCCCGCCGCATTTAGCCCCGCCCCAGGCCCCGCCCCGAGGCCCCGCCCCGAGGTCCGCCTTGGGGGACGGGGGAGGGGGGGATGGGGGCTCGAAAAAGCCTGGTTTGCTGAGTGCGCCTGCGCACGCAGACCGCTCCGGGCGCTGGGCGTGACACTCTACCCTCCCAACCGACGTCCAGGAAACTGGCTCTCTGGCGCACGCGCTTTAGGAGAGCCCTCGCCCCGCCCCGGCGGGCGGGGGGTGGGGGGAGGAGGGGTCCTACGGTGACAATCGGTCTCCCCCAGGGGTGTGGTGTATTGCGGGCGTCAGTCCCTACGTGCGCCTTTTCCCCTGGCGCCGGAGGTTCGGAGCAGCGCCTGCTCTGGGCCTGAAGGGTGGCCCTGAGTAGGGCGCAGGGAGCTCGCAGCACTGAGGACGGATCTGGGGGTGCACGCCCGAGCGTGTGCTCCTGACCAGCCGCGGGCCTCCGGAGCCTCCCTGACACGGGCCTGAACAGCACTTTTTGCCGCCTGACCCCGCCCGTCCGTGCAGCGAGGCCTGCCTCTGGAACAGAGATATATCTCTCTCTCTGTGAAAGTCGTGCCCAAGAATTCATAGTAAATCCTGGTAACAAAAGTCAAATTTGGAAAAGGGAAAAAATTCGATTTTGCTCTTGGGCGTGTACCCTGAACAAAACTGAACTAAAGAATTGCGGCAGGTTTGAAATGAAATGGTTTTGTGTTGTAGGGCTGAAACAGGATGCCAAGGAAGTTGCTATCCAAAGCTTAGGGAAGGAAATTAGCCTGACCATGGGTATGTATTGTCTCATTGTCTCTCTGGCTCTATTTTCTCCTATGTCACCTGTCCATCTATGTCATTTGAATTTATGAGGTCCTTAGACGCTCCAGAGGAACTTACTCAACACATATTAGCACTTACTATGCACCTGTCATTTGATAACAATAGGAGACAAAGACACGATCTCTGTCTATATGCGATGTGTGATGAGTAGCCAGTGTCTTTTAGATTTATGAAAAACCAAGTCTTGTAGGAAAAGTGTTGATGGAGACTGTTGATAAAAATCTCACTCTCCACTCACTCTTGGGAGCTTTTGCTGAGGGTTGTATATATTGGTTAGATACAGTGAACTGGTAAGGGGAAACTAACACCTCTATAGTGTCTAAAATATTCCCTCCTTTCTGAGAGCTCTTATATCCTTGATCTGTTAGATTCCCCTTTCTTGATTGATTGCTTCTACATCCGTTTGTTACAGAAAAAGCAATCTCTGAAGACAGGCACCGGTGGCTCACACCTATAATCCTAGCTACTCAGGAGGCTGAGATCTGAGGATCTCCGTTCAAAGCCAGCTGTAGCAGGAAAGTCCGTGAGACTCATTCATCTCCAATAAACCACTAGAAAACTGGAAGTGGTGCTGTGGCTCGAGTGGTAAGCGCTCTCCTTGAGCTGAAGAGCTGAGGGACAGCGCCCAGAGTTCAAGTCCCACAACCGAGAAAAAGAAAGAAGGAAGGAAGGAAAGAAAGAAAGAAAGAGAAATCTCTGGAAGGGTAGGAAAACCTTAGCCAAGTTGACAGTGACTCCCAACACCTCTACTTAGACTGTTTTTATAATTTTGGGTGGCTTTTGTAGAAGGCAGATTTATTCCTAGGTTGTTAGAGGTAGTTTTGCTAAGTGAATCTAGATTAAACCTATGATATTCAATATTTTTACTAATGTTAAAAGTGATTTGCAGTTGACCATGACCTTTGTGTTACACTTTACCTTGGATAAGCTAGCCTTAATACTGTAAGTGACAGGAGGTGATAATGGGAAGACTTATGAACATAACTAGATCTGTTTTAAGAACACTCAAGAAGGGCTGGGAAGGTAGCTCAGTGGTAGAGCGCTTGCCTTGCATGCATGAGGCCCTGGGTTCAATTCCTCAGCACCACATAAGCAAAAAGAAAAATGCCAGAAGTGGTGCTGTGGCTCAAGCAGTACAGCGCTAACCTTGAGCTAAGAGCTAAGGGACAGAGCCCAGGCCCAGAGTTCAGGCCCCACGACTGGTCCAAAAAAAAAAAAAAAAACACTCAAGAAGAAAACTTTGGTTGCTGTGTAAAAAAATAGAGTGGAAAGCCAGGCACCGGTGGGTCATGCCTGTAATCCTAGCTACTCAGAAGGCTGAGATCTGAAAATCACCTTTCAAAGCCAACCCTCAGCAGTAAAGCCTATGGGTGTGTGAGTGTGTGTGTGTGTGTGTGATGGAGCTTAAAGGGGTCTTTCTTACCTGGGGTGGCTTCAAACTGGGATCCTCAGAACCCAGCTTCCTAAGTAGCTAGGATTACAGGCATAAGCCACGAGCACTGGGCTCCATGAGACTCTTAAATTAGCTACATAGAAAAAAAAAAGCCAAAAGTGGCTCGAATGGTAGAGTGCTAGCCTTGAGCAAAAAGCTGAGGGACAGCACCCAGACCCAGAGTTCAAGTCCCAGGACAGGCACCAAAAATAAATTAATAAATAATAAATAATAATAGCTTGGGAGTAGATAGAAGCACCAAAGCTCATAATAATATGAAAGAAAAGCAGAAGTTACCTGCCCTAAATCAGTAACGATGAAAATGGGAAGAGATATTTAGGAGATTAAACCTAGTAGATTTGACAAATGACTAGATATGAAGGAAAAAAGAGAAGATGTTATATATTTGTTGCAAATCCCTGGGATACTGGTGGTGCCACAAACATGATGGAGGACATAGGAACAAGAATCCTATGTGTGACATGATTGCCCCCAATATGCCTTCAGCCACCATAATACATCTTTTGCATACAAATGTAGTCATGAGATTAAGTTCCTGTAGATGCAATGTCAGCAGAGTTCTACATTACTTGGAAGAGCATTGCTTATTTCCATTTCCTTTCCTTTTTATCTCCTGTAGGCTGGGCCATGTATATACACCTCATTCCATCTTCATGCAAATGAAGACCAAAACAAACAAAATCTCAGGACAGTAGAGCTCAAATTTATCACTCATCAGAATTACCGAGAGGGCTTGGCAAATATATTTTACACAATATGGTAGTTCCCTAAAAATTTTTAAATAGAATCAAATAACCATATGATCCAGCAAATCTACTTGTTGGGCATCTATCCCAAAGAATCAAAGATTGAGTAGTTAGTGTTGGCTCCGTAGCAGTGTAGCATCCATCCAAGATGGCAGAGGTGGAAGAGACATTGAAGCGACTTCAGAGCCGGAAGGGAGTGCAGGGCATCATCGTGGTGAATACAGAAGGCATTCCTATCAAAGGCACCATGGACAATCCCACCACTACACAGTAGGCCAGCCTCATGCATAACTTCATCTTGAAGGCTCCGAGCACTGTGCGTGAAATTGATCCCCAAAATGACCTGACCTTCCTTCGAATTCGTTCCAAGAAAAATGAAATTATGGTTGCACCAGATAAGGACTATTTCCTGATTGTGATTCAGAATCCAACAGAATAGCCACTCTTGGCTCCCCATGCCATTTCTTAATTTAGTGCCCTCCAAGAATGATAATGTCAATCATGTCATCTGACCAGCCCATAAAGATGACCATAGATCCCTCGTGAAACAATAGAGATCACTGTAGATTCCTCATAAGCCAATTCAATGACCAAGTGTGGGCTGGCAGCTCCCCTCTACCTTCACCAGATGGAGGAATTCTCCCCTTCCATGTTCCAGTGACCCCAGAGTTCTCAAGAGGGCTCCTCCTTCCCTTCCTTGCTTTGGAGCCACGGCTTAGGAAAAGCCCACACCCAGCTTCCTTCTGACCTTCAGTTCACTGTTGCTCTTGGAAAAGGTGGTTTTTCTTTAACTAAAAATAACCAAGCCACTTTAAAAAAAATCAAAAATTGAGATTTTTGAATACTCATTCATAACATCATTATTTGCAATTGTCACAAGGTTATTAATGTCCCTTGAATGAATGGGGGAACTAAATGTGATATGTATATACAATGAAATATTGTTTATCCTTAAACAGGAAGGAAATTCTGGTACATGCTACCAGATTGATGAATCTTGGAACACATTATATTAACTTAAAAAGCCAAACACAAGCCGGGCGCCGGTGGCTCACGCCTGTAATCCTAGCTACTGAGGAGGCTGAGATCTGTGAATCTCGGTTCAAAGCCAGCCCGGGCAGGAAAGACCGTGAGACTCCTATCTCCAATAAACCACTAGAAAACCGGAAGTGGCGCTGTAGCTTAAGTGGTAGAGTGCTCACCTTGAGCTGAAGAGCTGAGGGACAGCGCCCAAGCCCAGAGTTCAAGCCCCATGACCAACAAAAAAAAAAGCCAAACACAAAGTAATGTATAATGTTAGTTATATGTGTCACAGAAAATAGTTAAATTCAAAGAGAAAGTAGAAAGTTAATGGTTGCCTAGGGTTAGAAGTGTTACCTATAAATTCAAGTGAGATAAAGGTACACTTAGTTCCTACATTCCCCGCCAACTTAACAAACGTGTTAACCAAAAATTTAAGGTAGCAAACTTGCCTTTGGTTCTTGCATCTGGCAAGAGAAGACTCATTTCCTCAGTCATTTCCCTTACTTCCTCATTCTTTTGTAGCTCAGCCTCCATTTGATAGTCTGGTAGGTTTCGGTTTATCAGCTTGTCCTGCCACCTGCAAGTTATATAGGCTGTTATCTCCTGCTGCCTTCTTTTTGCATTAGTGGGAACCGAAATGAAGATTTATTGTCTAATGGGTACAAAGTTTCAGTTTTGAAGGTGAAAAAGTTCTAAAGATGAGTGGGGCCCAATAGTTGTATAACAGCATTAATGTACTTAACTACTGAACTGTAGACATAAAAATGGTCAAGAGTAGGACTGCCAGCTTTGCTCAAATAGAAACCTACCTAGCAGTGCACAGCCTGAGTTCAAACTCCCTAATGACAAAAAAACAAAAAAAAAAGATGGGAGTAGTCATGTTGTACATTAACTTCAGTGTTAAGAGTACTATGTATCAGGCCCAGCTTCAATCTTCAGCACCAGAAAAAC